GAGTTGCGTATACTTGTCCTATAATGACTAAGCTTAGAGCGTCGAGCAAGGATGAGCCTATAAAAGATGAAAACAAAAGGGCTAGAGCGTTCTCGCTCGATGTAACCAAAGCTGACCTTATATTTGATAAATTATATAAGGATAAACAGATAAAGTTGAGCGATAAACATAAGTTGCCAGCCCTGAACAAATTAAGGGTAAAAAATATTGTAAGTAGTATAATGCATGGTCACATTTGACTAACAACTGTTTGGTTTTTCGCCATATGTTACAGGATGTCATTGAATCATGATGAATTACGTTCAAAGATAAGAAAAAGATGGCAGTGAATGAGAACCCTTTTCCACAGCCCCTTGGAATGAATATGGTGACGAATGGTTTCAAAAACAGGTTGCCAAAATTCAAGTTGGTCATAGATGACGGAGAAGAGGACCCTGGGTCACACCCCAGTGTCTTTAAACGTATCAAAGGGAATGAGCATAAAAAGGATGAAGACGTCCTGTGTGCAAGATGTAAATGAGAAGTGAGTGCAAATACAGAGAAACCAAGGATATGGCAGCATCACCATCGTTCTAATTTTTTCCCGAATGCTCAGCCTGTTAAAGGGCGAGGTACATCATTCTATAGAGGACCGCCTTTTGAGAGGCAGTTCAGGTCAATAAATAATGGGAGAACATTCAGGCCGCAACCTCGCCAACCAAATGTATGACATTCATTCCAGTATAATGCAGGAATGGTGATACCCTTAAACGAGATGACTAGAACCCAACAAAGGATTTTTCAATGGAATTATGGACGAATGATGAGGCAACAATAGGGATTACCACGTCCTAAGGCGCCTAAACTACTCGAGGTGGCCAATCAAAATGTTCTCGAAGACAGTGAAGAGACTGGTACAGGCAAATAGATGAAAGAACTGCCAGAGAGTTCTTCTGGGAGATCGAAGTTTGAGCGAGATAGAAGGGATGAAGAAGATCCAGATCAGCCCCTTACTATTTAGTTCAGTACGTTATCTCCTGTTATGGCTATTAACTATTTACTAGCCAATGAGTTCAAGAACAAAGAGAAAGAAGAAGAAGAAATGGAGGATAAGAAGAAGCATGTGTATTGGAATGTGAAGAATGTCAAACTTTTAGAGGGGCCTACAATGATGAAGATGA